CGCTAAGGAATGGATGTTAACAGCAGTCATGAACGTTGGGCCTGACTGGCCTTCCTAGAGCACAACACTTGCTGCATTTAATGTGCCTTGTTCCTCTTAAGCCTCCTGTGCTAGTTCCTGCTTTTAGGAGACCTAAAGGATTAATCAAGCTTACGCCAGAGACACGACAGGCAGCATTTCATACACTTGTGCAGTGAGAAACAGATACTCGAAAGCACGATCATTTTGAGAAACAAGTTGTGCAGAGAAGAGGCTGTGCTCTTTTAAAAAAACAGAGTCAAATGTTTGTATATTTGGTACAGAATATGAAATTATAGCTCAAAAGCTTTCCAGAATCCCAGGACTGATGTAGAAGGTATGATACCCAACGAAATAATAACAGGCTTCTTTATTTGCTGCTCTATTAAAACAAAACAAAACTGAACTAAGATTTCAAATGATCCAGGACCAGGGCTTTAGAAAAAATCTCTCACAACATTTGGTAAGTATGCAACTCCACAAAAACTGCTCCAGAGCAGTTTCAGGTTTGCTTTTAACACGTTTAATTAGCAGATTCTATATGACATCAATCCTACACTCTTTATTCTAAATGCATCCATTGTCCTTATGCAGGGGAGATTGACAGACAGGTGGCTTTAAGTTCTGTCAAACATCAATTGATTAGATTCAGCTTACAACATTCATCAAACGCAGTCTTAGTTTTCAGCTGCAAACACAACCTCATTAGTATCCAACAGAATTTTTGCGGGAACATGCCAAGCTGTTCTGCACTAAACCTACAAGGAAACAAACAAACACAGAACTTACTTGCATATATCCAGAAGTCCCAGGTCTTAGCACTTGTCATCAGATGCAATAATCCATTAGGTCAAATTCTGTCTTCATTGACGTCAGCAGAAGTTCCAAGCTATATACCCAGACTAGACCAAATTAGATTTGTTCCTGCTGCCCAGTCTACTTCTTTCTTACCTCTGTCATTGTTTTGCCTTCTTTTGGACCAATTCTTAAAATATTTGGCAAGTTAGAACTTACGCAAATTATCTGGAAACTTAACTTTTATTTACTGAATGTCATTCACCATATTAATTATACAATGCCTACAACCACATGAGGTGAAATGATTTTTGCTAGTATTTTATTTAAATGCTATTTTAAAAAGTAAGTTCTAAAGATACAGGCACCTCCATTACATATGTGCTTTGAAATTTAAACTTTGAAGGAACCCATAACCTTCCATTCCATTCTGAGGAACTATTTGTTTAAATAAATTGTTTTACTGTTCTGCCACTTAATCCCTGCTTTTCGCAAAATGATCCTCCTGACTGTACAAATTGAAGGATGTCAAACCTTGAAATTCACTGGAATGCCATGAGACCTGCTATTTGCATGGTACAGTTGCATAAAGTATCAATTAACTTGATATACAGAGCATAGAAAGTAACAGAATTCACAAAGCCACCTATAAGTCAAGTAGAAAACGAGCTCCACTGTCTTGTTAGAAAAACTGGGACTCTAATTTAAAATAATTCATCCAGCAATGAGCAGAACTACATAAATATATACAGAAGCCTGTACATTAATTCTAACCGAATTAAATTAGTTCTATACTGAGAACCATGTATCACAGGTGATTAGTTTGTGTGCATAACAACTATCATATTTTCCTTTGTGCTTGGCAAATTTAGTCTATTTGCAGATTGTTTACTTACATGGATGTAAAATTTTAAAATTTGACTTCGACTTATTTTACACCTCAGTACTGACTCTTCAGCTTTTGCTCTCCACTTACCAGTCATGTGCACTCCTCTGCCACCTAGTGCTTTAAAGCAAGATATTTTATATCCACCACCAGCTCTTGCAGACGTGTGTTCAACAGAGTAGATACGGTTTGTGCAGAAACCTTTTATTAAAACTTCCTTAATGCCATATAGCCTCTATGGCTATCATAATTCATCGCTGCCAGCGACGGCCTGTATCTGTGCAGATCCCAGTGTGACACAAAATCATTTAGCATGGACATTACTGGTATTTTAGGACATGACATTCTACCTGGGTTTTTATTGTATTTAGAGAAATATTTCCTTACAGGGAAAAAAAAAAAAGACATAAAACTTTTATTAATCATGAAATTTTCAGAAGACAAAAGAGTCTGTCTTTTGACAACTACTGGCAGGTTCCCATAGTGTCAAAAGGGAAATTCTATGGCATATGTTTTTTTTTACTTGTTTTCAAATGGATTTTGGAGTACAGCATTTGCAGCATCCTGCTTGTTTTTTCCTAGTTTCAGTTTACATTGTTGCAAAAAAATATAGATATATAGATATACTGCATTTTTTTTTCAAAATATCTCATATAGAATTTTAGCTGCAAATGTAGTGCTTGCAAATTTGGGATCATAAATTAAACATGAATTGCATTGAGAAAGGAACACTAGTAAGGCTAGAATATGCTAATTTTGATAAGAATAATCTATCAAAATATTTTATTACATATAAACAAGACTTAAGTAACAAACAGGTTATGCCACATGTTTTCAAGGCATTCTGGATTAAAGAGTGTTGTGTTGTCTGTGAACAAAGCTAGCTGTGTAACTGTTACCAAAGGTAAGCCAGGAAAGTGAGTTTTCTTTTCCTCATTCTCTTTTGAAGGAAAAGTCATTCATCTCAGCAAACTGTGATGATGCACAGTGAAAATCATTTATTCTCTGGAAAAACAATTGATATGCTCTCAGCTCTACAAAAAACTCAAATATATCTCTGTTGTTTCTACTTTTTCTTTTGAAGAGCATAAATGCCAGACTTTTCAGTTACCTTTTCCCCACATTACACAGAAATCACTACAAAACATAAGTTACTTGTCCTGTCCGAGCTGCACAACTGCAACACTGACAAAAGCAGGAAGGATATGAAGTGGATGGCCACCTAAATGTGGCCTTGCAAGAATATGAAAATGGTGGTGACATTAAAATCCAGTATTGATACAGACTGACTTCACTAATATTTCTTAAGAAAGCTGTTGCAGTGTCCTCGTTGCTATAAAGACACTGTAATTCAGACAAGTAACTCACTATACTACCAACTGTACTTACTATTCCATTAGCAAAAGCCACTTGTCCTCTCTCATTCATGTTTAGAAATAAGGTTTCAGACTTGTAAAAATACCTAAGAAAGTATGTCTAAGAAACTAACTCATGAGCCTCTCAATATTCTAAGCTAATTTTACATAATTTTCTCCATAGCCATTGTCAAATTATAAAAATTAACAAAACAAAAAAATCAACAGAGCGGGGGGAAAAATGGTGGTGGTGGGAGGGAAATCTTCTTTCAAGTCTTAGTGCCTTACTGCTTAGTTCATCTCACCTCTAAGTCTGTCTGTCTCATCCCACCCAGCTTTGGCACATGTGAACCTTCCAGTCTGCATCCTGCCTGACACCTTTCATTGGCTTCATTTCTAAATAAAAGTGACAAACAGACAGGTACAGAGATAAAGCCTGTTTAGAAACAGAGAAATAGACTCAAGTTGTTTACTTAGATATTGTCAATTGAAATAACATCAACACCTACCAATATTCAGTATTCCCTCAGACTACAGAGGAAATGCAAGATCCCCATTAACATGTGTACCTACAGTTATATTTCAGAACATGGTATCCAAAATGAGGAAAACAAAAGTGAAGAGCTACAGCACTCACACTATCTCATTCCTTAAACTGGCATGATCTGAAATGGGCCGGGTCATTACAAGCAAAGGCTGCTTTGAAAAGTAGCCTTCTCTTTTACACTCCTACTGCTTGTGTCACAGGGTTCCTGTCCCTGACACGTGCCAAGCTACAGGAAGGTACCACGTAGAAACCTAGTTGCACAAAAACAGAAGAATAGTTTTGTGGTGACATAGTTCTCCAAACCCAAACATCACAGGGTTGGAAAGGCACGAGTGCTAAGGAAACTATGAGGAAAACACAGCCACAGTTTGGAACAAGTTTGCATTTTTGATCAGGAACTGGCTCTTAGACTGGTTGAGTTACACAATTTATATAATTTAAACCCCATCCTAAATGCTTACTCTGAATCTTACAAGCCATGGTGCTACTTGTACGGCTAAAATCAAAGTGAAACACAGAGCTCACAGCTCTTCTCTGCATCACAGCATCAGGCAGCAGAGGGTAGAGCCTCCCTCTCGGCAGCAGATGCCCAAGGCAGGAATCATTCCCTGCTCCTTTTGCTTTTCTGAGCACTCACGGACCATCCCGACTACTTACCTGGAGTGCTGCAGAAAATCAGCTTTGACCGTCACAGCGTTAACAAGCTTTCAGTTGTTACATTAACAGTCATTCTGTCATTGAAGAACCACAGCGTGCTTTGAAAATGAAAAAGAAACCTATTCACGTCCCTTCAAGGACACGTTTTATATGCAGGAAACAGAGAGAAATGCTGAACATAGAGTCTGATACAATGAAATATCAAAGGGAAGAGCAAAAAGCGCAGAACAACTGCTTTGCTCAAACCCAGAAATATCACTGAGTATCTCAAACAGCAGCACTGGGGAGTAATCCAGGTTATGAAAATTACCAGGGAACTATTAGGGATAAGCAGATAACTGCATCTTTTCTTGCAAACATACTTCGTATCTCATCAACATTCCATTCAATTAAAAGCATTTTTTTTTTTAAAAAAAAGTAGTAGCCAAAAAGATAGAGCAGATCTCCTATGAATCTTTAAACATTTTATTATGTGAATGTTTTATCACTGTTAGAAAAAAACATTATGTACAAAAACAGTAGATAACACATTAACATACATCTTATTCTTTGTGCAGTAAGCAAATATCCAAAAACCAGGTAGATTCTGATTTATCTTTAATTGCAACTGCTATGTATCAGTGAGAGACGTTCACCACCTGATGCTATGGAACTAACATATGACTGCAGTCTGATATGAAATTAAATGTTTCAAGCAGACTTCCCAAAAGTTGATGGGTTCATATCAGCAGCGAACACAAGAAAAATGGTCTGCAAAAGCACCATCTTTCTTGCCGTAGCAACTGTTTTGGTTTATATTGGTTCTATAGCCTCAATTTTGAATAAACCAGGATGGGCGCTTCCTGGCTCTTTCAATGATCCGCTTGCCTTCATCTTTCTCTGTGGGCTGTTCTCCATCGTAGAGCACTACAGTTTCTACTGTGGGAGCTTTAAACGGTCCTCCTTCCTTTTTTTGTATTTCACGACGTATCTGTTGAGTTTCTGCTTTAACTTTTGCATAGCAATAGCCACAGAGGGCGTGCTTCAGTTTCAAGTGTCCGCATTCAGGGCAAACATCTATGTTTCTCTAAAAAAGGAAGTGGAAAATAGGAAATTCTGAAATTAAAAAAAAAAGAAACAACAGGGAAGGATCACAAATTACAAATATATGTAAATGAATTATTAGAAAAATTCAACCATCTTTTCAAAATGTCTAAATACTTTTTTTTCCACTGTATTGCTGCTCAAATGCTTATCAGTATATGTAGCCTATAAAGTTAACACCTAAGTGGTTATCCTTAGCAATATTTGGAAACTGCAGACCTACAAACCCTTTCATATGTACAGAAAGCATAGACCTGCAGCATTTATTCTAACTGTTGGTTTTTAAAGCTGTCACATTTTATTTAATGACAACCTACCACTGCATTTTTTGAATATACATTACAATGTGTTTTGCAAATTACAGTCTTCTAAACTTATCTTAGTATACCTATCAATCAACAAATTCCAAGGAGCTGCTTCAGTCAGTAATGGCCATTAGCACAAAGGAACCTCTAAAACAAGACAAATTAAAAAGTGCTGGAGTAAATTTGACTTCAGCATGCCTGCTCATCATTGATAAACCTGCCCATGGTGAGCAAGGGGGGAAGCCAACGCCAAGCAGCTCCTTACCTTCACTTTTATGAGCTTCCTGTGATCCCTGCGCCTGCAGCGGTTCACCTCGATGGAGCGCCTCTTCTTGGGGGCAGCCATCCACAGGACACTCTCCAAGAAACTGGGCACCTCCCCGCTCTCACCAGCGTCCTCTGCTGCCTCGGGAAGCACCACTGGGGCCTGGACAGCCAGGGCTGGCCCTGGAGAAAGACACGTTACAGGTGACCTCCCTTTCTGCCAAGCAGATATAAGGGGAGCACCATTAACGCTCCTTTCCTCGCCAA